GTTTTTGGCCGGAGTTGGCTCGGCCGCAAACTCGGGGAGCTTAAACCCGCCGCGTGCCTGGCGAGGGCGACCCGTCCGTGGGAAGGCATCGGTCGCGGCGAGGCGCGTCCTCCTCGGCTCCCTTTCCCTGGGGGGGGGGTCATCCTCGACCCGCCACCGAAGCGGGGTTGGGGGACGGAACGGGGACTCCTCGTGAGCCAGCTTTAGAAAGTCCGGCCGCCTCGGGCTGCGGGAGGCGGCGATCCGGATGGCATCGGCGAGGCGTCGGGGAGGAGACGACGGGAGCCCAGGGACTGGAGGAGGAGGAGAAGAAGCCTGTCAAGGCTTGAGGACAACTCCTTCATCATCATCACCACCACCACCATCGTCATCCTCTTAGAATTGCGGGGCTGGAAGGAGCCCTATGGATCCTCCTGTCGAGGAGGCACCGCGAGGAAACGTCCCGTCGGGAAGGGCCCTTGAGATCCCACTTGGATTCTTGCCCCTTCCAAGGAGCCGGCAGGCGAAGGAGCGAATGGAAAGTCCCCGCGAAAGAGAGACGGGGAGCGGTTCCCTCTAAACTAAGGAATGATCGGATTTTCTTCCTTTTCTTTTTTTACATTTCGGTTTCTCTCCCCAGTCCGGTGGCATCTGCACGGACGGGCGATGGATGCTCCCTCCTCCTGCCAATTAGGTAGGTCCCTTTCGGTAAGTTGGTGGGTGTGACTCCCCCCCCCTTCCAAAGACACGTTTCAGAAGGAAGCAGGGATAGATTTCCTTTTGTTTCATTTTCTTTGCTGACCGACCTGTTGGTAACGACTTTTAAATATTTTGCAGCTGTTGGCGCAGAAAACTTGGGCGAAGTTGCTGGGGCCGGAGACGGTGTTGCGAGAGAGACTAATTAGCTCAGAGCGCCCTCTGGTGACTCGCGAGTAGGGCCTGTTGGAAGTCATCGATGCGGGGAAGACGGGCGGGGGGTTGGAAAGACCCGATATCATAGAAAGCTCTCAGATTCAAGGAACGCATTGACTGTGCTTTAACACAAAACTTTAAATTACGACGGGAGAGCCAAAATACATTGTAAAAGAGGGCGTCCACGAGGAGGGGTAGCTTATGGAGCCCCAAAATGTAGCAGGATCTGTTCCTATTCAGGGTGGGTTTTGAACTTCGTTGGTTCAGCATATGGCGTGTAGAGATGGCAAACAAAATTATTGTACTCATTAAAAGTCAACCTCCTTTTGGGTGGCTCTTAACTAAAATCGTGTAGTGGTTTGTTTCATAATAACCCTAATTTCTCGGATCTTCCCATTGTTCTACAACTAGAAAGGAAGATTTTTTTAATGTATAAATTTTTAAAGCCCTCAAAACAGTTGAGTATTTTTGCAGGCTGTTTTTTTTTTGTCTGTGATTCATTACATTCATACTTTCCTTGTATATTTAGATTGACGTCTGTTTCCTTTTGGTATTTCTTTACAGACTAAATCAACATCTGAAGTGAACAGAATCCAGAAGCAGCTACTATGCGGGGAAAAAAATAATCTGTTTTGTGTTTTTAATTTGGTTGTGTGATGAGGAGATAGAGCTAATTGAAACTCTGAAACGGGGATTAGTTTCTCAGACTGATGGGGATATGAAGATAATGAAAGAAGACATTAAAGCTACTAGCCTCCTACATGATCATCATACCAAACAAAGCTTCCCCAACTGAAGTTCAGCCAGTTTTTCAGATTACCGTAATTCTGCCAAAATTGACTAATGGAAATATTTTGTAGAAATGTCTCTCCCCAAAATAAAGGACAGACCTTTTTCTCAGTACAGCACGAAAAACCAGGACAGAAAGCAACATGACTTTGAGCTTTCTTCTCTTCTACACAAAACATTCATTTGCTCATTTTTATGCATATACCTTGTTACCAGGTTTTCTGTCTCTGTAGCTGGAATAATTCAGTGTTAAAGAATGATTCTATGATTAATGAAGTAACATGGTGGATATAATGTTCTTCACTGCACTTTGTGGCATGAACAGGCATCCCTTTGATATCGAACTTATTCATACACGGGATGTAGGTGGAAGCTGACGAGATATGATCGTATCTTTAGATCTCTCTGCTCTCATTGTGGCTGTATGGTGTCCATGGAGGGCAATTCAAAAACATATTGGTGCTGTAGCTACAAGACCATGCCAGCTGAGAAACATGTATTTATAGCATAAAGGCTCCCCACTCCCTATTTACCTAAAAAGCTTTCAAGTGTATTTTCCTCTGAGTTCCTTGATCCAGGTTTGAAATTGGAACACTGTTTTTTTCAGAGGTGTGTGCCCAAAGGAAGGAAACTGCCTAATGGATCATGGCTCAAATGTTTACAGGACATTCCATATTTTTAGCATTGGTGATATTGGCAGTCTCTACTTTTGAAGAGTCTGTAAGCAATTACTCTGACTGGGTGACATTTACAGAGGATGTGGATCAGTATGAGAAACAAAGACTGGAAGATTTCAAGGCTAATCAGAAGCTGAAAAAAGCCATTCTCCACCCGAACTTGTATTTTAGTGCCGAAGAGATCCCGGTGTTGAGGCAGAGGGCTCGCACCAGCCACCTCCACCTCTTTAGAGCAATCCGAAGTGCTGTGTCGGCGATGCTGTCCAATCCGTCCTACTACCTACCTCCACACAAGCATTCGGATTTTGCTGCAAAGTGGAACGAGATCTACGGAAACAATTTGCCTCCCTTAGCTTTCTACTGTCTCTTGTGCCCAGAAGATAAAGCTGCTTTTGATTTTGCAGTTGAATACATGGACCGAATGGCTGGATACAAAGACTGGCTGGTTGAGAATGCCCCAGGTGATGAAGTTCCTCTTGGGCATTCCTTAACTGGCTTTGCCACAGCTTTTGATTTTTTATTTGCATCCTTGGATAAGGTCAGAAGACAAAAGTACTATGCTAAGATCTGGGCAGTGAGCGAGGAAATGCATGGGTATTCCAAAGTCCGTTCTTGGGGCAAGCAACTTCTGCATAATCACCAAGCTACTAACATGCTAGCTTTGCTGATTGGGGCTCTGGTAGCAGGCGAGGGTGCTGAGTCCCAAGCAAATGCCTGGAAGCATACAGTGGTGGATATGATGGAAAAAACCATGTTTCTTCTGAACCACATTGTTGATGGCTCTTTAGATGAAGGGGTGGCTTATGGGAGTTACACAGCCAAATCAATAACGCAGTATATATTCCTGGCACAGCGCCACTTTGGGATTAACAATCTTGAAAACCACTGGCTCAAAATGCACTTTTGGTTTTATTATGCAACCCTGTTGCCAGGCTTTCAGAGGACGGTAGGCATAGCTGATTCCAATTATAATTGGTTTTATGGCCCTGAAAGCCAGCTAGTTTTTCTGGATAAGTTTGTCTTGAAGAGTGGAATAGGCAATTGGCTTGCCCAGCAAATTAGAAAGCACCGGCCAAAAGATGGCCCAATGGTGCCATCCACTGCCCAGAGATGGAGCACTCTTCACACAGAGTTCATATGGTATGACCCAGGACTAGCACCCTGCCCACCTCCGGACTATGGCAGTGTGAAAATGCATGTGTTCCCTAACTGGGGGGTTGTCACATATGGAGCAGGGTTACCCAATACCCAGACAAACACTTTTGTTAGTTTTAAATCTGGTAAGCTAGGTGGCCGGGCTGTCTATGACATAGTCCACTTTCAGCCCTATTCCTGGATTGATGGGTGGCGTAGCTTCAATCCAGGGCATGAACATCCTGATCAAAACTCTTTTACCTTTGCTCCCAATGGGCAAGTTTTCGTTTCTGAGGCCCTTTACGGACCCAAGCTTAGCCACTTGAATAATGTCCTGGTGTTTGCACCATCTCCCACAAGTCAGTGCAATCAACCTTGGGAGGGTCAGCTTGGGGAATGCACACAGTGGCTTAAGTGGACTGGTGAGGAAGCTGGAGATGCAGCTGGTGAGATTATAACATCCTCTCAGCAGGAGGACATGATGTTTGTGAGTGGTGAAGCAGCATATGCATACTCATCAGCAATGAAGCTGAAAAGTGTGTATCGTTCATTGCTTCTGCTGAACTCTCAAACCTTGCTAGTGGTTGACCATGTGGAAAAGGAGAAGGACTCTCCCATCAACTCGATCAGTGCCTTTTTTCATAACCTTGACATTGATTTTAAATATGTTCCATATCGGTTTATGAACAAATATAATGGAGCCATGATGGATGTATGGGATGCTCACTATAAAATGTTTTGGTTTGACCATTATGGGAATAGCCCAGTTGCCAGGATACAGGAGGCAGAGCAAGCGGCGGAGTTCAAAAAGAGATGGACACAATTTGTGAATGTCACTTTCACTGCAAAGAGTACTATTGCGAGAATTGCCTACCTGTTCTATGGGCCTTATGTCAATATTTGTAGTTGTAGGTTTATTGATGATGCCCCGTCAGGGTATCAGATTTCTCTAAATGTCAACAATACAGAAACTGTTTTCTCTGTGTCAACAGACTATTTAAATTTGAGGACAAGGTACAACTATCTAGGTTTTGGTGGCTATGCCAAGGTAGCCACCAAAGGAAGAGTCACGAGATTTGGCCTGGGTACTGAACCAATAGAAAAGCCAGCACTGACCCATCAGGGTATTTTCCCCTTTGGATTTAAAGTGAATATAATAGCAGCCCTTATTTTGGGGATTGGCTTGGCCATATTGGCCTTCCAGTGGCGATTTTATCTTTCCTTTGGCAAGCTTTTGCGTTGGATCCTCATCCTGGTGATTGTATTGTGGTTTGTTGAACTCATAGATGTGTGGAGCTCTTGTACTCAACCAATCTGTGCAAAATGGAGTAGTGATATGACCAGCACAGATCGCAACCCAACAAAGGACCAGGGACACCCTGTGAGTCTGCCAGATGTTGTCATTACCTCTCTTCCCGGTTCAGGTGCAGAAATTCTGAAGCAGCTGTTCTTCAACAGCAGTGACTTCATCTATATCAGAATCCCTACAGGCTACCTTGATATCCCTGAAATGGAGTTTGAAATTGACTCCTTTGTCGACGCCTGCGAATGGACAGCATCAGATGTTCGGAGTGGCCATTTCCGCCTCCTCCAGGGCTGGCTGCATTCTCTAATCAAAGACACTAAACTCCATTTGCAAAATATCCTTTTACACGACACCAGCAGAAGTAAATTAGTTCAGCATTCTGTCACCAGCAAAGACAAAAAGAAGCGGCCCAGGAAGAGAGAATCCATAGCAGAACAAAGAAACCGCTTGAGAGGGAGTGTAGACAAGGATGCGGAATACATTAGGGAGCTGAGAAAACACCTCACCTTTTATCCCAACGCACGCCCAGTGCTTAGTCTGAGTAGTGGGAGCTGGACATTAAAGCTGCCTTTCTTTCAAGAAATCATAGGCCCTTCCCTGAGAGCGCTCTATGTAGTACGGGACCCTCGGGCATGGATCTACTCCCTTTTGTACAAAAGCCAGCCTAGCCTGTACTCTTTGAGGAAAGTTCCACAGCGCTTAGCGAGACTCTTTAAAGCAGAAGGTGGCAGGAAAGAGAAGTGTGCTTCAAGCTCAGGCTATGCTTTCGAATATGAATCACTGAAGGAGGAACTCACTCATTCAAATTCAAACGCCATCTCTGTGATGTCCCATTTGTGGCTGGCAAACACGGCTGCCGCCCTGAGACTCAACGGGGATTTGCAGCCAGCAAATTATCGGCTGCTCAAGTTTGAAGACCTGGTCAACTTTCCCCAGAAGGTGGCTGAAGATACCTTTGCCTTTCTCGGCATCCCCCTCTCTCCTGCTAGCTTAAACCAAATATTATTTGCCACATCCACTAATCTTTTCTATCTCCCTTATGAAGGAGAGATCTCCCCTATGAGCATACATGCTTGGCAACACAGTATGCCTCAGGAGGAAATTGAGCAGATCGAGGACATCTGTTTGATTCTAATGGACCGCTTAGGATATCCAAAGTTTACTGATTTAAATGCTGCGGGTCAGCAGTAGTTTGCACTAAGGATCCCCAGGCATTTCTAGATAAGAATCAAAGAATCTGATTTATTCTTGTAGAATGTCTGTACAGTCTGTTTCACTTGCAGAGAGATTATTTTAAATGAAATGAGATATTTGGTCTAGTAAGGATTTTTCTTCCCCTTCTCCCAACAAAAGCCTTTTAATTACTTTTTGCTGCTTTTGCAAATAAAGCTGTGTGAATCTTTACCTTCTTTTCCAGATGGGCACTAGGAGAACTCGAGGGATTGGTAATAGGATAAAGGATCTTTCATTTGTAGGCTATCAGTGTGAACTGAAGCCAGGATTGGAATTGCCAAGTGTGGCTGCCGTCTGCTGGTTGTTTGGTGGCTAATGTGAACTCAGTTAGGAGGAGGCAGGGCTGAGCCTAGTTTTCTGTGAACAACTGTCTGTATCATGAAACAGACTTCACATATGGCAGCAATTATCTCCCTTGGGCTGGTTATGTTGGCATGTTTCAACCGCTTTCAAATACTCCAGTGGCGCTGAGAAGCTGTAAGTGTAACTAAACCAGCCTTTAACATGGTGTCTAGATGTATGATTGATGAACATCTCTGGGGTGGCAAGAGACAGATCCCTACATGCACACATATTTGTGCATTCATACATACACACATTGGCAAGATTTTGGCATTTTCTTGGCAGGCAAAGCAAAGAAACCAAGAAACTCATTTCTTATTGGGTCTTTTTCTTCATTAAGAGTGAGGAATTCAGGACAGTAAGGTTCACTTCAGAATATGATTATTATAAAAACTATGTGAATAAAGAATTAATGAATAGAAGTTACAAATGAAAAATCATAGATCTAAGATGGTTGTTGCTTGTTTATAAACATCATAGTCTTTTTTGTCCGTGTTTTTTGGTTACAAAGACTGGTGTTGTGTTTGGAGGCTACCCAAATGTACCTAAATAGAAGCTTCTGGCTCTACTTAATAGATATCAAAAATATCCTGAAAAAGAAGATGCAGTGTGGAAGGGAGCATCATGCTGCTGCTACTGAATTACTTTGAGACCCACAGACAAATTGATTCCTGTTTCATTAGTTGAATAGATGGCTACTAGTTTAGAAGAAGGTCCACGTAAGCATACGGAGGAGCTTGAGTCATCTCTGTTTTCTCTGTAATATCCCTGTTAATTTTTCTCTACCACTTTGCTTATACATAGAACATAATATGTGACAATTCTAATGAAGTTCCTCAGGAGTAAGGATTTTGATGTTTGGGTTTTTAGATTGCAGCATTCCAAATTTGAATTAATTGTAGCTGCCAAGTGGGAACAATGGTGTGATGATAGTTTATTCAATACTTTAACTTAACTTCAATTTTAGAGTAGTCAATGTGAAGTGCTGTGAAATGCCTCTTTCTTTGGCATATATTCATTCTTAAAGGGATTTATTGATGGCTATATCAATAAAATGATAGCTTCAACCAAGAGGGAGAACATGGTCCTCTAATGCCACTGGACGCTCAACTCCGATCAGCTCTATCCAGCATAACAATGGCACACAAAAAGTGTAGGTGTCTTGCGGTTGGGGGAGGGGAGGGCTCACTGCAGATTTTGGAGGTGAGGCACTCTTCCAGATCAGTTCTTGATGAAGGAAAGTGCGGTCCAACAGCATCAGGAAAGTGGCACATTTCCTATCCCTGGTTGACAGCCCACAGATTCCAGGTCTGCTCTCTTAATTTTAATAGAAGGATTAGTTTTTGCATTTTATCATATAGTGTAATCCACATGTGGTTTTCTGGTCACCAAAAGTTTGCTTTTGTATGGAAAGTTAAAGTATTAATCTTGTGGGGTAGAATTATATTTCCATTAGAAATTAACATTTTACTGCACATCATGTTGTCATAAAACACTTTTAACACCCTAGCCCTTGGGAGACATGGAATGCCTACATGCATTGTTGGTGAGTGAGGCCACACTTCTTTGCTCACTCCTGAATTAAGTCTCTCTCTCTCTCTCTCTCTCTCTCTCTCTCTCTCTCTCTCTCTCTCTCTTAGCACATTAAAAAGGGAAAGCTGCTTGAATGCTGTTAGCAGCCAAGATAGTGTAGAAGCTGACACATTCAACAGTTTAGTGATAGACCTCCTCTTGGCAGGCATTTTCCTCAAGAAAAGGAGACTACATTTTTGTGTGTGTGTATATATGTGTACAAAAGAGAAATATAACTGACAAGTAGAAGACAAGACTGGCAAAAGGCCTAGGATATGGGTTAATTTTTTTAAAAAAATACGTTTCTCTTTTTGATGAGGTGATGTTCACCACAGCTTGTCTCATTCCTGCAAGACACATTTTTCGCAGCTGCTATGTTTCCATACTCAGTATGAAAACATAACCCATTGTTTTCTCCTAATGATCCACCATCAGACAAAAGCATGCTAGTTCATAGCTTGCAAAACTATAAAGGATGTTAGAGGATAACATGCTGTTTATTGCTTAAGTCAGCTCTGCTTCTAATTCCAAAGCTTTCTGCCTCATTGGTTTTGATCCTAAAATCTCTAGGGAACTGAACTTGTGGGGCAAACAAGCTTACATAACCAAACAAATGTCTGAGCAAACAAGCTTACATAACCAGGCATGCTTTCAATTGTAATCATAATTAAAATAAAACCCTTAAAATGAATCAAAGTGCAGTGTCAGGCTAGAAAAAAACCTTATCAGTGCACTTCATTGGGGATGCATTCCCCGCCCCCCGTAAATAACATCTAGACTCCCTGGAAAAGACCCTGATGTTGTGAAAGTGTGAAGGCAAGAGGAGAAGGGGACGACAAAGGACAAGATGGTTGGACAGTGTCATTGAAGCTACCAACATGAATTTGACCCAACTCCGGGAGGCAGTCGAAGACAGGAGGGCCTGGCGTGCTCTGGTCCATGGGGTCACCAAGAGTTGGACACGACTTAATGGCTAAACAACAACACTAGTTCTTTTATTTGGAGTTCTATACATTTTGAACTTGAGGGGGTCAGGGACCTTTCTTTCTTTCTTTCTTTCTTTCTTTCTTTCTTTCTTTCTTTCTTTCTTTCTTTCTTTCTTTCTTTCTTTCTTTCTTTCTTTCTTTCTTTCCATGAACATGCTTAGTGTTTTATAAATAATAAGAATGAATGAATAATAGGATGAAGACTTATTTGTAAGTAAATGTGATGGGGCCAGCGTTAGTGTAGTACATTAAATTTGTAAAGAAAGTTGAGGATCTTTTGCATTTTTCTTGCTTCAGATCTTCATTTCTCAGTTGTGTCTCATGAAAGATATTTCACACACACTTTCTCTACAAAATCTATTGGTGTGAATTCATGAATAGAAAATTAGTTCCCTTTTCCCTTAACTGGAACTAAAATATTAATTTGATGCCAGTTCATCCACTTGCAGACTGCTCTCCCACCTTCCTGTTGTCTCTTCTGTCCTTAAAAAATGAAATGTATTCTGATCTGTTTTGCTCAACTTTCTCTACAGAAGTGTGTGTACTGTTCATGGTCAAATTTGTCATGCAAATCAAGCTCTCATGATGCCTCTAGAGGCATCAATTTCTTTTCTTCTAGCTTTTCCTTTTCAAAATAGTAGCATCAATTTCTTCTAGCTTTTCCTTTTCAAAATAGTGAAATTGCTATACAATACATTTCCTCTTTAAAAAAATAAAAATTAGTAAGTGGCTAGTGTGATTTGGGGTGGAGGGTACATGTATGCACTGGCTTGGCATGCCCTCGAGAATCCTAGTGGGGACTCATTAATTGCCGGCTAGAAACAGGTGAATGTTATGCCTTTTGCCTACCCTCTGTGTAACAAAGTAACACAATGTCAGCCAGTTTGTTAAATGTTGAATAATTGCCAGCTGAATAATTGCCATTTTCTTTGGATAACAACAATTAGCCAGTGTTACAGTAGAATGAATTTGTCTCAGCAGACTAATATTCTCTTGGTGACATTAGGCTGAATACTTCAGTATTGTGTCTTCTGTCCACCAGTTTCAAACTCCACTAACATGCTGTTGCCTTCTGTGATCTCTCCTTCTGACCTAGATAAAAGTAGTTCTTTCTCAGCCATTCATTATTATGTCAGAATGTGCCTCTAGCCTGATAATGCTGTTGATGCCCTTTCACGAACCATAACTCGACTATCAAACACCTCAGGTTAGGAGGAGGACTGGCAACCCTCTTTTTTGTATGCTCTCCAGGGTCTTCCTCTGGCTAGATGGAGCATCATATGGTAAGGAAAATGGTGAAGCGTATTACCAGGCAATGATATGTTAGTGAAACCATGGATTGCAATTCTTGCTCCTGCCAATCTTTCTCTCTTTGTTTCTCCGATCGTATTTCTTTTTTCATTTGACAAAAATAAACTTTGCTCTAAAGATTCCTCTGCTGATAACACAGTGCCTTGTTTTAGCTTGATGGGGCTGTCTTTGGAGAATCAGGCTTTAATTTGAAACATTTGTGTTTTGGTTATGATGGTTTACAATCTCAAAGGTAACTGAAAGAAATAAAACGTCTGACCTCCTTTCGAAGTTTGAAATCTGCCAAAGCAGAGAGTTTAGAGAAGCTAAGGAGATTCTAAAATGATGCTGTTTGCTACTGCTTTTCTTCAAATAGAAAGGGCTCTGATTGTCTCAAAATCTAATCTTCAAAACAGTCACCTTGTTTGATAGTTTTCAGAGAGAAATTAGATGGTCTAAAACTTGGAAGCAATCTGACATTACTCCAATAGTGGAGAGTGAACTTGCATTTAGGGCAGGTCTGGGAAAGCTGTCTCCCTCCAGATGTGGCTGAAGTCCACTCCTTCAGCCATAAGCACCTGACAAATAAAGAGGTCATGATGGAAGTAGGACTTCGTCACCATCTGGAGGACCAAAAAAATTCCACTGCTGGTTTAGGATTCTCCTCCTCCTCCTCCTCAAATATACTTATGCAGCAAAGTTGGAGTCTTGTAATCCACACATGGTCTGCTACTGATTTCCTGGTCATGCATTCAGCTGATCAAGGCAGTCATGGAACTGGCATGATTAGCTTCTGATAATGTCATGGAAGTGTCCCAGGGGGAAAAAAGATGTTTGTTTTTCTAAGAGGTGCTTTGTACTTTTGGCCATGTGCTCATCTATTTGGAAAACTACATATATTAGGTGCTGCATTTGGGCTGGTGACTCCTTTGCCATGCAGGTTTAGTCTAATCCCATTGTCCAACTCCTCAGCTACATGCATGGTATTGTGGTTTATTGTGATCCTTTTGTTAGCATAGTTTTGTACTGTATAGTCTACTGTCCACTAAAAGCAAAGAAAACTGTGCTGCTTATATACCACCACAGAGCATTGAAAACTCTCTCTGGGTGGTTCACAATTTAATTATGCAAGCTAAAAATGGCTCCTTTCCCCCCTGTGAGCCGGGTACTCAATTTATCAGTTTCAAAGGATGGAAAGTTGTGTCAACCTTTAGCTGGCTACCTGAGCTTGGGATCTACGTAACTCAGGTTGTGAGCAGAGTTTTCACTGCAGTACTGCAGTTTAACCACTGTGCCACAAGGCTCTTAACAGCTGCCACTAAAGTACTGCAGTCTGGGTCAGAAGAAAAGTTGAACTAAACAAGTGAGGTACATCAGGTACTCCTAGAATACTCTGGTCATATAATAAAAAACAAGAAGTGCATGTTGTTACAGGTCATCATTGAAAGTAAAATGCATGAGGAGAAAGTGTGGGAAGGAAAATAGCTTACTGGGTGAGGAAGGGGGAAGACTGGTTAAAGTGTGATAGAATATCCTTCTTCAGCTGCCACATCCAATCAAAACAGTTGTGATGTTGGAGAAGGAGGAGGAGGAAGAAGAAATAATTTACAAAATTCATTTGGAGCCCTCAAACTGCAACTACTTTTAAAAGTAACTTTCTAAGCTCTATCCATTTGTGGTTTTTCAGCTGAGATATGGCTGGAATAAGAGATGTCTAAGATTTCCTATGTCTTTTTTCCTTATTTTTCCATGTACATAAGAGAAATACAATGTGATCCTTTGTCAAAGCAAAGCTGTAATCTATTGTGCTTCTCTCTAGATTGTACCTAGATTGTCTCTATCGTCCTGTGAAAATAAGGCAGAGTTAGATGGTCCACAATCTTGAGTTGATGTAGGAAGCTCACTATCATGCTTTATAAGAACTGACATTGATTTTTGCCTGATAAGCATAATAAGAAGCTACATAGTTTATCGACTTCTTGACATAATAATTTCACCAGTGTCAGTTAACATACCATCAATACACATTTTGGTATGTTTCCAGAAGTGCCTGAATATGAGTTAGGGTAAAATATATTAGGGTGCTCAGCTTTTATTTTTTACTTCTTCAAGTGTGAAAAATGCACCTGCATCTTTGGATCACTTCTGTATTTTGCCTTTCTTTTGTTGTCTTCCCTGATTGGTCACTGATTGTTTAATTTACAAGCCTGATTGCTCAGATACATATTTTTGAGAAAGCTGTACTGTAGAAGAAAGAGAAAACAACAACAACAGGCTATTGTCTAACCCTGTGGGAAACTTCTGCTTAAAGGTTGTAACTGCTTCTGTTCCAGTGACGTGCATACCCTCCTGGCAGCAAGTGGCAGCTGCCAGCAGGCGGGGTAACCCCTTATTCTGCCCTTTCGCTTAGAGGTAGAGCATAAGATCAAAGGGTTATTTCAGCCAATCCTGGTTACGATTAAGTAACTAGTATCCTATCTGAATTTTAACAACATACTATGTAACTCATACTAAGTCAATAAAGGGAGCTCTCAGGGCATTGCCTGTAGGCTCTGCTGGCTTGGACATCCGTTGTCGACACCTTTGTTCTTTCTCTAAGGCAATTAGTCTTCCTTTGTTCCATGATCACTACATTTGGCGCCAGAACAGGGACCTCAACAGGGACTTGAACAGGCACATCATCTGAGGCAGTCAAAGCAGCTCACCTTGCCCAGCAAGGGCTCCAGATATTTCCTCGCATCCTTTTTGTATCCTGGTAAGTATTAGTAGTTAAAAATGGGAAATACTCTTACACTGCTTCAAAAACGACATAGGAAAGACTTGATTTATTTGCTTCATAGAGAAGGTCACCATGATGTATCTGATTCAGTAGAGGATTTACTGAAGGAAATAGGTCCTTTTTCTCCCTGGTATCCAGAAGGAGGCAGCTTTAAGCTTCCAGATTGTGATAAAATTGGGAATAAACTTCACAAAGACCCTGTTGCTTCAGTTAAAGTCCTCCACACATGGCATCTTTGACAGGATGCGATTTCAAAGATTGCGAACCATCTATTAGCCCAGTCTTTAGCTAACTTAACAACAGCCCCTCAGATTTTGCCACCCTCTAAGCCACCAGATCTCCATGAAAATAGAAACAATCCTCCTTCCTACACAGTTCCTGCTGCTTTTCCAACAGCCCCTTCTCTTTCTCCTCCCCCTCCTCGTTCAGCAATGCAGCAGATGTTATCTGATGTTATGGTCCAAGGAAACCCGGAGGATGTTGTTGCCACCCCTCCCTTATATCTTTCTGTCCTGTGGTTTATAACAGTCAGAGACACAATGTTCATTAAAGTCTTCCCCTTGCCATGTTTAAAGAGTCGAAAAAAGTGTAGTTGAAAACAGTCTCCATAGCAGTTTTACTCTCAGGTTGGTTGATGTGTTAGGAGGAAATGGAAAGCTTATTCCAGCTGATTGGAAAGTGTTGGTTAAAGCAATGCTCAGTCCTGCGCAATATGTACTTTTCATGCAGGAATGGAGAGATGCTGCTGCCATTTTGGACATGGATAATTTACAAAACAATATT